TAGGGCTACTGTAGAAAAAGAAAAAGAAAATCCCTGCGCTTTTTTTTTTTTTAAATATAGTATTTATTTAACAAAGAGAGACACAGTAAGAGAGGACACAAGCAGGGGAGTGGGAGAGGGAGAAGCAGGCTTCCCACCGAGTAGGGAGCCCGATGCGACGCAGGGCTCCATCCCAGGACCCTGAGATCATGACCTGAGCCCAAGGCAGACACCCAAAGACTGAGCCGCCCAGGCGCCCCAATCCCTGCACTTTTTGAACTTACTACATACTATTACAATTTGTTCTCTTTTCTAAATAAAAATGAGAGGAAAAAATAGAAAAATAAAGAGATATTTAATAATATGAAATATGGAAGACATGTAATTTTATAGAATTGAAATTTTATATAATTTTGTATAACTAAGTGCTAAAAGTGGAAAATTTTAGATCTGGATATGGGCTCATGGGCCTGAAGATGTTCCCCTATAGGCTAAATAACAATACAAAATTCCAGAATATATAACTAAGTGAAAACCATTAAGGACTTCACCAAACTTTTGTCTTAATGCAATGCACATACATACTCTAGACTGTAAATTATTGTCGACGGAGGCAGGTGTTAGTAATTCTATGTGTATTCTAGAATTGAGAAAGATAAATATAATGTGGACAATGTGAGCCAGGTTTCTTTTTTTCCATGGGCAATAGTTATAAGTCAGGAAAGGGTTATGGCTAGAGTGAACCCTGTAGTGTTGGGCTGGGAGTGGAGATATGAGTATTAGCTATGATTTCATATGTACGAATATATAGCTGGATATGCAAATGGACAGAGGTGCATGTCTTTCTTACCTCTCTCCATGGAGAGGGCCTGGGAGCAACAACAGCTTAGTGGCAACAAGTACATCTCATGCCTAAGTCTTGGCTTTTAAATATTCATCTTTTTAAAAAATGATGGTATTGGGACGCCTGGGTGGCTCAGTGGGTTAAGCCGCTGCCTTCGGCTCAGGTCATGATCCCGGGGTCCTGGAATCGAGTCCCGCATCAGGCTCCTTGCTCGACGGGGAGCCTGCCTCTCTCTCCACCTCTGCCTGCCTCTCTGCCTGCTTGTGTGCTTTCTCTCTCTCTTTCTGACAAATAAATAAAAAATCTTTTAAAAAAAATGATGGTATTTATCTACTCTTTTCATCATGATAAGTGTACCCTTTAATTCTCAGCCCCTTAAATATTATTCTTTAGTAAAATGTACTAGTGCTTTTTGGAGAAATGAATGATAACAGAGCTGGGATGGAGAAAGTATGGAATGAACCTAGAATAAGGAGTGGTGTCAGAAAGGAAGCAAGTGCTCAAAAAGTAATAACAGCATTTTGGAAGGAGACTGGAGCCAACTTGGAGCTCCCAGTGGCTGCATCAGGACAACTGGAACAACAAAATAAATAATGATAGTGGTGAAGTATAACCTAAGGAGAAAATAAAACTTCATGAGCTTATACTAGGATAAGTATAGAACTGAATACAAAATTAAAGGAGATAAGGGAGAGCTCTTCATTATAGTAGAGTTGCAATTAATAAATGAAGAAAAAATGGAATTTAAAAAAAATGACTATTTGGTGACTACTTTGGTAATAATTGTTGCAAGCAAGAATCACCAGTGGATCCTAAAATTAACAGGAAAAGTATCACGAGAAACAAAATATTTCTGTAATTTCAAAGTACTTGTCCCATTAGATACTTATAAATTTTTAAGGGAAAAAAATAGTGACTTTACATGGATAAACCTGGGAAACATCCTCTTAACCACGTGACTGAGATAACAGCACCAAGAATGACATTAATAGGATGTACTGTGAATGCATGATACCGTTTCAGTAGTAGTCTTGTCAAAAATGCATAACTTGAGTTTAATCCCAAGAAAATATCAGACAAACCTTATACTGAAGGTGTACTACAAAATATCTGGCTGGCTTTCACACTTCTAAAGTTTCAGGGTTATGAAAAGCAAAGAACTGGCCAAAATTTGAGGAGATAAGGGGAGATTGAAGAGACGAGGCAACTAAACACAGTGTATAATCCTGGTTAGATCTTGGATTTGGAAAAGGACATTAATGTGATAATAATTGAAACTTGAATAAGGTTTACGTAATAGTTTTTTCAATTTTTCAGTTTTCTGGTTATGATTATTGCATTATGCATTATGTTTATGTGAAGTGTTAACTAGTGGGGTGGCTGGCGGAAGGATATATGTTGAAATTGTACTATAGCAAGTATGAAATTATTTCAAGGTGAAAAGTGTAAAAATTAGAAATGCATTTTGAATGTTTTAATGAATAAATATTTTTATATTATAAAACAGAATCTTACCTTTCAGTTTTAATAAGATGTAAAACTTGTAAATTTGCCACTCGATTTTCACACATTCAAACCTTGTATGATTTAGGAACTAATTTTATGACTGCTTGAGATAACCTCCAGGGTAACAGAATCATTAATAATGACTAATTGAGTAACTTTTTTTTTTTTTTACAACAGGTATGAAGCTAACAGACGATTTAATTAGAAAATTATAACTGTATTCCGATTACAACTGTAGTTATAATCTACTGTTGATCTGTAGTTTTCAAACTTGAGCTAGCACCAGGAGCACCTGGAGGGCTTATTAAAATGAAGATATTTGGATCCACCTTCTCGAGTTTCTGATTCTTTAGGTCTCTCAGGTGGGGGCGAAGAATTTGCAATTTTTTTTTT